GTCAGAGTCCTTGAAACTAGATACCTAAAACATATGAGGATTAATTTAAGCACACTCCCAAAGATAGGCACAAATCTCTGTTTGCAAATATCGCAAAAGGCTAAGGAGTGTGGCAGAGCTACCCAGGGATCTGATCTCTCTGCTGCATCAGAGGGTGCAAATCTCTCTCTGTCAATCTCACTTTTCAGGAGTGCAAAAAGTACAAAGGGGAGGGGACATTCACTGGATCTGTGAAGAAAAGAGTACAATTTGGCCATAAAATGGCAGTAAACCAGAGGGAGCCTTATTCTGCCAGCTGTTGAGAAGTACATTGTCCCAGTCAGAGAGAATCCTGGTTTCTGATCTTAAATATTATGTGGAACAATAATATTATGCAACGATTATGTTTTATTGTATAGCATATATAAATAAAATGTTATATATATGCAGAGGACTTTTCATAGTGCCGTTATCAAGTATATACATATATATACTTATGTATATACATATATATACTTATGTATATACATAAGCATGTAGCCATCCCTGCCTCCAGGAAATACCTTAAGTATCAGTAGACATACTTTCATTTACAAATCTGTTTTGACTACTGAATGTATATATCTGCATATATATGCTGTTGCTTCTTATTCAGCTTGAATATTTTCCTTAAAGAACAATCAAGTATCAAACCATAAGGACAATGTTACACTTCATAGTTTGGCACAAAACATGCCTCACCTTTAATTTATATCAACTGTTTTTTGAAATTAAAATTCTATCTCCTTCCTCTTTCTTATAAAATAGTATTAATTCATATTATGTATGTTATTTCTGTTATTTTAATCTTATTTTCTCATGTCTTTTTCTCTTATTTTTTCATGTCTATTGAAGATTTTTTACAGGTAGGTGCTGACTCACAATGGCAAGTTTGTACCTCCCACTACAACTCAGCCTTGGTGTTTACATATCTGTCATTATCTTAGTGTCTGATTTTTAAAGCTCTGATGTTTCTTGAAATTTCTTACCATCAGTGTTCAGCAATGACGTACTGTAATGGGTGGTCCATCTGAACAGGCTGATACTGCAATTTTTATACACCTAATATATCTACCTTCCATTTAGGTTCTCTGTTTTCTAGGATTTTCTACTTCAATCCTATATCCAGCTTGTGTGAATTCAGCTTTCACATTTCAAAAATGTATTTGTCTTAACAAAAGGGTTTCACTGGCCACTTCAATTAATGCAATTTACACTGGATTTGACTGATCTCTGTAAATCAAACCACTGCTGTTTCTGAAGGTGTTGAATTTCAAGTTGGCTAGTTTAAACTGAGATGTCCACTGAAGAAGCTCCCTGTGTACTCTCAGCTGGCTAAAAAAAGGTACCAGTGCTCATAAATGTGACCTCCTGTTTGCAGTTCTTTACAGGGTGATGGCCACAAAGTTTCTGGAACACTTTTCTCTACAGACACTTTTCTCAAACTGCCTGATCTGTGTGACATGTCACTTATAATTGTTAAGAAAGAGAGGTTTAGTGAAGCATAGCATCCCACACGGTTTCTTAAAGCCACTTTATGCATTGGGGTTACGCAAAATGTCAATGTCTTGTCATACATATTCAGTGTCACTGAGTTAGTTGTGTTTGCTTTTAGAAGTGCTGCATTTGTATGAATCCCAGCAGTTAAGAAATGGCTTTTGAAGATCTGTCACATGGAACAGAAAAGACAGAAACAACTTTAAAAAACCTGCAGCCACTGAGCTGAACTGCCTTCCAAATGAGCTTGTATATGTTTTGCTGTATCATGAACTTTGGTGACTAGAAAATGACTGAATCCTATAGTAGACACTAAGGTGGCATTACTATACATGTGTATACACATGAGATATTCCCACTCAAGTTGCACTTTTCTGTTGCAGTCTTGCTCCAGGGGCTTTGAAGGATCTGCAGTCATGATCAGAACAGCCACTTTACAGATCTAAGATACACAAGACTTACAAAGAAGGCAGTTGGCCTGATCATGTGTTTGACAGCATCTAATTCAAATATTTTTTCTTACAGAGCTGGCTAGAGTCAAAGAGAACTGTTCTCACTGCTGTGAGGTATCAATTGCTCTCAGTGAGGTGTGCAAGGCGTCAAGTACATCTAAAGGTGACATGCAAGGCCGTATGCAAGTCACTAGGAAAAAGTGAAGCAAGTAGTGCTCATCTCACTTGGGAACCTGGTAAAGACTGCAGACTCAGCACTATTAGTCCCCACTATGTCATTGCTTATCCAAATATCCTGCTGTTCCTACAAAAACAATTGGTTCTAGTTCAGACTTTATTCAAGACATTGTTCTTTATTAGAATAATCACAGACGTCTCTAATGTGACCTTGTACTGCAGTGAAATTAAACTTGGCATACCCTGCACTAAACATTCAGATCTTGGTTCTTGTGTCTTGACAAGTAGGAAACTATAACACTACAAGATGGATGACACAACAACACAGAATCCTTTGCATCTCTTAAAGTGTTTTAATCTATATGTTAAAATGTTAGCTCACGTGGAAAAATTCTGTGTGATATGAAAGTTCACTGGGAACATGGCTTATGTTTTCTATTGCTATAATATATGGAAAATCTTGCATGTGTCCTATCAGCTACTATGAGAAGAAGACAATTTTATAATAAAAAAATAGATCGTAGTGTTAATAATTTCTGGATACTGAGTTTCCTTTTCAAATATACTGAGCATCAACCACTTCATGTGCAGTCAGTGAAAGTCTACAGTGTTTAATTAAACATATCCTTTCTTGAAAAAACTCAGTTTTGGAACTTGAAAGGAGCTGTTATTCACCAGTTGTTTCAGTTCACCAGTTGGCTGATCAGACTGAGTTAATTAAGTCCTTTTAAAATACTTTTTTTTTTTTTTTTTGGGGTGGGTGTTTGACACTTCACTGAAGATAATTCATTAAAAGTACAGCTAAAAACGTTTTACAGACATGTATTCTTTATAATATTTGATCTTTTGTAATAAAAATATTTCATTATCACTTAAATTTCAATAAATCAATTTTCAAACCAGAAATATTTATGGAGAACCAAAGACAAAAATTAGATAATAAGGTCAATGGGAAGCTCAATAGTCAAACTTACTTAAGGGTCTAATCAATGTTTAACTCTTCATGAGCCTACCTATGATTCAGAGATATGTTTGTAAGAACCTAGCAGGAAGACCATAGGCCTTTCTTGCCTCAAGCTCAAAATAAAAAAGCCAAGTTGCAGTAAACCAATAATCAATATACAAATAAACCCGCACACTTCAGTACTCCCTGTTGACTAAAAGTAGCTAAAAGAAATAGCGCAATAATTCATTCCTATTCTTCTAACGTCCTTGACCTTGGACTGACAGTTCAAGTTCATCTACTTTGACTACTTCAAAGAGTTTCAGACTATTTAAGACTTAATTCATTTTCTAGCACTTAAGCCTTCACTTTGCTTTAGTGTTACAACTGTGCAAAGTAATATCTGATTTCTACTGTTCTGCTATATACTACCTACATACACTCTGTGAAAGAGCTGCACATAAAAACTTGCAGATGTTATCTTTTATGGCTTTGTCAGAGAAAATATTGCCTCGTTATTTCTAGTGATCCTTAGGGAAAATCTAAAGATAGGAAGTAATATTATTCAATTATTTGAAGCAGTTTTCAAAACTGATTGGAAGTTTTAAAGATTGACTATCATATTACCATGGCTCAAATGACTGTTATTATCTAGCAAGTTATTACATATTCTTATCCATATTAAATTATTTACACATTTAACCTGAGAGACTGCTTTCTAATGAGCAAGTAATATTTAATTAATATGCAAATAGTGTCAAAATAAAACTAAGTTTTGTTTGGATTTAGTTGACATCAATAAATAAACTTAAAAGTAGATGGTTGATTGTAATTATAGTTTTCTCACTGCCTGAAAATGTCTAGTGTTTGAGAGAGAGACTATAAATTATAATTGATTTTTATTTGATAGCTAGTGCCGATATTTCAATGTAAAAAGAGAGAGCAAAGCAAGTCAAATAATGTGTTATAGAAGAAAAGTGTGAACTGAAATGACAAATTTAAATAGAAATAATGAGACAAAATTTAAAAAAAAAGAAGAAAATAAATCCTCATAACTTTGCTACAACTTGCTTATATAGCCCCATATGTATCTTTCGTCTATCAGCCAGGTAAAAACAAGGTCCAGCAGCAAAGAGTGCTATTCAAGGATATTTATGGATAGCTAAGTGAAGAAACTAGGATTTAATTTGGGAATGCTTGCACAAAGGATTTATTTTCTCAACTGAATCTTATGTTAAGGCTCAGCTCAATTTGGGATTGTTACCTTTTTCCTTAGTTGTAGTTGAAGCCTTCATTTCTTTTCCTTTTGAAGAGTCTGGAAAAGATATCAAATACAGAAATATAAGGAGAAACTTAGTAATAGAAGTATTCACTGTGCCCATCAGTACTATAACAAATGTGCGTAATACCAGATCAACCAAATGTGCAAGAGAGAGAAGTGTTAACAACTCGAATTTCTGATTACTTAAATAAAAGGGTCAATTTAAGATTTGAAAGCAAACTGAAAATAATTCCCACTAAATTAGCTGGCAAAGCTTCTGCAGTTCAAGCCATGCACTCATTCCTGTGTAGCCTGTCGTTTCAGCCTGTCATGTGAATTCAGTAACAGCTCTGTTCCTCAGAACAGACCATCATTCCTGCTGCAATATTGGCTGTGCAGGTCAGACAGTGGCTAAAGAACACCACAATAAGAGTTATGATTTTATTATTTCTTAATCATGTCAGACACTGCTCCATTCAATATATGAGCTCTGTTGAGTGAGAAGAAGCTAGGTTTAGTTCCTTTTCACCAAAAGCCTGTAGTTCGAGACATATCAAAACTGCACTGAGATACCAGCAGACCCTTTCAGGAGAACTACTGGTTCTTTCCCAACCACATAATTATAAGACATTACCCTTTTCCTTTAAGGTTGCTGGGGGCTTCACATCTTTTCTTTTACCAGTCTCTAGAAAGAAACATTTATCACAAGTCAGGTTAGAGAAATAAGATGACACTTGAAAAGAAAGCAAGTCAAACAATTTGATATGTAGAGAGCGAAAAAGATGTGATAATTAAATGGATTTAACAGCATGGAAATAGAGAACAGGACAAAACAACAAGGTCATTCATTCATCCTTTTAGACTTGGATATGCAAAATAATAAGCCTTCAATATGTCATTAGTTCCTTTGCATTTTGAGGAAACTGTTAAGCTGTCTCTCAAGTAGGCAATGAAGAATAATAATTTACAACGAGGAAAGCAATTCTACAGAGCGGTTGGCATCAATAGATTTTTCTTTTGTTGAACGCAAATAAAAAATTAATCCACATTGATACAATTAAAACATTAGAAATACTGGTCTTGAAAGACAGAGGCTGCTGATAAAGGTAAGTGGGAGTTTTCTTTATTTGGGAGTGACAAAAGAACTGGTTACACATTCAGAACTCCATTATTCTTTTAATATCAAAGAGGCCATATGGGTATTGCCTGTGAACAGGATTTCACTTTCTGCATATATATAGCCTTTTAAAATCACAGGCAACTTGGGTATAAAATAAGAGCAGTGCTCATTTTTTGAATGTACATTTATATATTTTATGTCACAATGAATAGTCCAAGAACATAATTGTATCTTTAATTTTTCTGCAGTATATGACAAACTATTAAAGGAGATGAGAAACAACATTGGTATTCCAGTTATCTCTTTCTTGTGCCTGACAAAGCAGAACCCAAGGACAAAAGAAAATCCAGAAGTTGGTTAAGCACAAATAAAGGAAAACTGTGATCTTCTTGTGGTGCCCAGATGAGACACATGGACTGACAACAGTGACAAAGAGGAGAATCCTGAGTCCTAAGTAGTGTCCTGGCTTCATCCCCCCGAGTTTTCACAGGGAATAATACATTCCTTCCAGAAGCATGTCACTTTGCTGTATGTATATTCAGTACTCTGCACTATGCCAGCCATAATCCAGGCTGCACTGAGTGTCTCCATCTTCCAAAAAAATGAGACTTGGCCACAGTTTGGACCTCAGATGTGCCTTTATAGCTCAGGAACCGTGCAAAGTTCTGCTAGCTTTTCCTGATTCCCTTCCATTTTTGAGCTGTTTAAGTACCATCCAGAAAGTCATTAATGCCTGTGAATTCTGTAATTCTTTGCATTAGTGTTCCGTACAGGCCACACTGCAACAAACAGGGTTTTCTGTAATTAACTATCAACACTATCAAATAATCTGTGACCTCTGTGTGCACAGCTAGCAGGCCAACCTACTGCAACTGAAAAGACTAGAGATGTATGTGTCCGTGTTGATAACAAATTAAGAAAAAAACCCTGATTTATATTAGTCACCCTCAGACATCTGGATATGTCAGTAGCCTCAGACAGTCTCATTCTCAGTCAACCACATTCTTGAGCCATAGCCACATGGACCAGATTTAGTCTAGTACCCTGAAGGAATGTCCCCACTATGAGATTTAGACAACGTGTTTTTGACAGGCTAATATCCAAAGGTGGTTTAAAAATACATTTTAGTGTTTCCCCAGAATACAAATTCAAATCAGTGCATTCAAAAGAAGCCCAGGGAGTTACTAGGGACCCTATTGGGGATCTGTACAGCACATATGTTGTTGAAAACATAATCTAAACATGAACCAGGATGGGTTTGGTTTTCCATCCTTATATACTCCTACGCAAGACCTGTTTCTAGCATTAAATAGCTGTTCTGATACTCAGTTCTGAATTTCTTAGCTTTGTCACTTACCTTTTTCCTTTGACACCTCTGGATTCTTGGGATTCTTTCCTTTCAGAGAATCTATAGGGAGATAATTAAATTTCTGAGACTGAGAAGATAGGACTGCCCTTCTACACTTAGAAGAAAAAACAACAAATATTTAAAAATTAAGACTAAAATTGTGAACATAAATGGATTCAACCTTAATATGTCTTTGTTTACTCTCTAGTGACCACCTTATACTTTTTAAGGTGCAAAAATGTTAGTAGCAAATGCAAGAGTGGAAGTTACTATAGATCGCTTTGTAGAGAACTTACAGAGGGAGAAATCAGAAAGGGGATGGGCAAAATGCAAGTAATGACATAGGATTAGAAATTCTTGGGGTCTTATTCAAAACTTTATGAAGACAGAAAGGATTATTCTGTTTTATCTGATGGGATGAACAAGATTTTTTTGCCTCATTCCTTCAAGGAGCATGCATTCAGGGTCAGCAAGCATAGGAAAAACATACATTAGCTTGTATAAACAACTATTTTATTTTATTTTTAAAGCAATAACCTCTTGACCCTTTAAGTGTACGTATCAGGGAATATTAGGAGGAAATATTCTTCTTCAAAGCAAGGAAGTAATTTCATAGGGTTATGAATGTATGTAGTTTGAGTGAGAACATCACAGCTTGCAGGATGCTGAGTAGACCAAATTGCACTCCATCTGACAGGATATAGCACATAAGCATCCAGAAAAAACATGCCATTTATTCCAAATGAAAGTTAACCAAATCTTCAATAAAATAAATCAAGCTAAAAGATCCTTTTGAAAATAAGTTTAACTCTGATCATCCTCCTGGCTGCCATGGTACCAGGAAGTGATCCCACTTATCCATCTGGCTTTAAGTGTGAGTTACAACAGAAGTTCACTTCCAGGGTGGCTGAAGCCATTGGAGAAATTATACTATTCAGGGATAGATACTTAAATTAGGATCCTGGTCTTCATAGAAACAGGTAGACTCCTTCAGGGGGTTGAGAGAAAACTTCCAGTGTGAAGACTGATACTCTTTTGAAGGAGCATCTGCATTGACTATATAAGAATCCTTGAGACAGCAGCCACCCAACTTCGACCTTTTTACTCTGTGTACACTTTTGCAATCTCAAAGATCAGCAACCACTGTTACAGCCACAGGCGCAAAACATTGCCTTTGGCCTTGTGGGTTTGGTGGCATATGCCCATGTGGGATTTTTTGTCACCGATGTAGCAGGTGTCCCTGAGAATTTCCTACAAATCTGTAGGTTCTAGAGCAGGTTCAGTACTCTTGACTCTTACAACTTTTGGATGCAGATGTCAGTGCAGGACACTTTCCATGGTGTACTGACTTCCCCACCCTCTGACTCAAAGCTACTGATATCCCTTCCAAGGAGCATATTTTGATCCTCAGATGTTTAAACAAGGACTCACTGAAGACTTTTCAAATTTCTGCTCTTGACTTACCACTTTTCTGCTGGTCCCAGAAGGGGAAAAACATAAAGCCGGCTTAAAGCCAGCATTCACCTTGCTGCTTTCTGTCCACATCCTACTCCAAGGGTGAAGCTGGATCAGGTTAGGAAGATGGTATAGAAAGATGCAGCAGGTGCAGTACATTTGTCTCTTCAGAATAATGAACTAGTTCTCATGCAAATGACAGCAACAAATAATTAGATGGAAATGTTAACTGAACAGAGACTACTTTTCTGTAGGTGAGTTTCACAGCATAACTTTCTACTTTCAAAGAAAAAAAAAAGTGTGTTATAAGTTAAGATAAAAAATGCTGTAGGCAAGATGTTATTTCATTTTACTTTTACTTTAAAGGAAGCACAGGCATTGCATAGCAAGTGCAAATCAGCACATTTGTTTCTTTAATGACAATGTGCCATTATGTATATGGCAAGAAAGAAATCTACACTACTGACATATTTTCCTTACCAATCTGTCCATAAAAATAAATAGGCTTATTATCCATGCATAACTGACATAAGAAAAGATGCAAAGATATCCCAAAACATAGCAAAAGCAAACAAGAGGGAAAAAAGAGCATTTGTTTCGAAAACAAATCATGGAACACAAGGTAAGAGCGAGTTTACATTATCTATACAGCACAAATATTGTCACTTTAATAACTCAGCATAGTGCAATTCTAGTGAATATTTTAGAAAGATTCAGTGAGGAGTTTTATAGGATATATCATGAGCTTTTAGTGCCATTGTTAGACACTCTGGATGAATGAGCTTCTACTCTGACTGTTTGGGCAAGTTATCTAACAAAAAAACCCACATGGCAAATTATACCTTAGAGTTTCATTGACCTCACATTATTTGCATATGCTTATGTCAACAGAAAATCAGCTTTTATGTAGTCATTATTGTAAGTGGGCTTCTTTATTCTTCTTCAGGAAAAAGCTGAAAAGGTAGTTATAAATTCAGAAGGAGTCTTGAAATGTTCTTTATCACAAGACAATAGAAAGTATATTCCTCCAGTGTTCTCTTTAATTACTGCAAATAAGATTAAACTCTAAGATTGGAGACATTTTCTTCACCTCATAAAATAGTAAGGTAACATTATGAGGTTGTGATCTATAGACTATCCCAGCTATAGCTCTAAATTCAAGGATTTAGTTTTCCTGTCTCTGCTTTAAATAAGAACACTATACATCAGCTTATGAAAAACAGCCTCCTTTCTGATAAGGTTTTTCATATGAACATCATCCTTGTTCATCCAAATTTAGCCCATCCTTCAAACAGAATGAGGTATGATGATGCCTCCTTTATTGCATAAGGTGCCAGGCAAACATTAATCATCACAAGTATTTAACACTTCATCTAAAAATGTTCCTTTATTTGGTTTTACATGAATAGTAACAAACTCCCAAGATATATAATTAACTTGTATATGCAGTCTTGAAAGTCTTTACTTTCCTGTGTCCTTCAATATAATTTTATTTGCCAGAAACATCCACTTTAAGAAAGACATTTTAAGACACAAATTTGCGGAGTGATGAGGCCCCAATAACCTGGTCAACCTTTACAGATGCCCACTGAGGAGGCTTGAAGAGGTAATGGAGAGGGGAGACTGGCATGCAAATAAGGCTTTGATTAGTTTATGATCTACAGTTTAGGCAAATATGGTGACTGAAATGGGGGATTTTTTAGTCCTAAATATATGTTTCTGTAGCAGGGTAATCTGGAATACAATAGGGAAAGCACATAGCCCAGAAAGGCACCAAGATTTCTAACGGTTTCTCCCATAGAGCTTTATAAGTTCTTCCTATAGAGTCTTTGCTGCCAACATATTTTGAACGGAGCTATTCAGCTTGCTAATCAGCACCTGCATTTTAGACACAGACACTAAACTGTGCAAGTTTGAGGCTTATTATGGGAACCAGTGATAGCTGCATCGGTAAGTGCTCTCAGCATCTGAGGGACCAGGATCGGCTGGGCTGGACAACAGTGTTACTGTAGGGGCTCGGGAGCCTGTGGTGCGATTCCAGCTGTATTCAGCATTGAGTATTAGGTTGAGGTCTTGCTGTTAGCAGCAGTAATGCATCAGCCATGCATTGACTGTATTACACGGGATAAAGAAAGCTGTGTGAAGTTCTATTTGGTAACATTTTGAATAATATGCTGGAAGTTTTTCAGAGATTTTCGTGTTGCTTCTCTAAAATGTAGAAAATCTGATATAGCATGGCCTGTACTCGAGGTTTAAAATATATTTCTGCCTGCCCCTTTCTGAAGGCTGGGTGGAGAAGGTCTAACCTCCTCTGTCATGTTAGAAGGACCTGTTAATAACTTAGTGATTGAAGTCGCTGACATATTGAGCATGAGCCCAGGAGATTTAAAGCAGCACCATGGGATCACTTGGTGAAGGACACCCTACAGAAGCTTGTTCAGGGCTGGCAAACCCCTTTCTGTTGGTTCTAAAGAAACTCTTGCCAAACAAGAAAACTGCTTTGGGTCTCCTCTCTCTTTCTTTTTCTTTCCCCCCCTCCAGTAATCCTTTGAAAGGAGCAGCAGGCTGAACATATCTGCTCCATGCAGAGGAGGAGGGAGCAGAGCCGCCACTCAAGTGCCTCTTCTAATTTTTCAGCACAACCCCATCACGGAACAACAGATGATAGGCAGGATGTGCAGAGGGCCAATGAGACCCCAGAAATGTTTGGATATACAGTTCTGGTATAATAACTAAGCTCATGTAAATGGGATGTATATATTAGGAGTAGAATACTCATAGAAGACAATACATGAATCACAGGATTTGCAGATTATTATAATTTAATTTTAATTTGTGTATAAAGAAGTGATCAATTAGTAATTGTTCAATTAAACAATAGTGAGCGCATGAACATGGCTTCCAGGATTTTGAAAATATATCTAGCAATGAAATTATTCCTCCTTTTGCTTTAGATATTTTTTCATCTTTCCATAGTGCCTGAACTAAACTGTTCATTCAGTTCTTTGTTTGAAATAGCATATAATGACTATAATTTAGAATAAATATTAATATGTCTATCTATATGGTAGATCTTTTTATCCTGAAGAACCTAAAGAACATGTCAAATAGGACTTATCTATAAATCACTCCTTTCAAATACAGCTATCTCTAGAAAGGAGGGAAGCAATAAGACAGGTAAAAAGCACCCAGCAAAATAATGGATGAAAGGAAATTCAGCTGAGCTAAGCATCTACTCTGACCAAATTAAAAAAGACATGGGAACTGTTTGATAAAAAATAAGTAACAATAGGAAGATTCAGACCAACTCTCGTGTTACAGGTGGTTGATCAGATGAAGCTATGAGTTTTTAACTACAGTCTTTACAGAGTACAGAAAGCACATTACCTGCTCATATGTTCATAAATTTTGCTTTATTTCTATTATGTCCACAGATTTATGCAAGCATTCAGTTCAGACTTTTTAACTGGCTCCTATTAAACACTTGAATTGTTGAGAAGAGCAAGTTCTTAGGAATATTCATAACTATTATTTAGAGTGGTTTTGTGAAATTTATTTAATTTTGAGACTTCCGAGTGTTAATTGGCTCACCATATTCTATTTATGTCCTTTTCCCTCCCTTTTTTTCATGATATAAATCCCATAGAATATTTTAACCACTTAAATGTTGATTGGTTAAGATTTATAATAGGAAAGTTTTATAATGTTTATTTTAAAATTAATATCTTCATTCTACTTTATGTGGTTTTCAATGAACTTTATATTCTATTGTCTATTCTTACCTTTATCTTTTAAAGCTGTAGGATTCTTTCCTTCCTTTTCTTTAGCATGTTCTGTAAAAATAATTTATTAATCTTCAAGACAGAGTGATAAAAGGTTAATACCTCTGGGATGATTGATTGAATTGATTGATGGTTTCTAACTGAGCCGTGATACCAATTAAATATGTAGCACAAAACTGTTTTTCATGAGTTTTAGCATGCTCACAAATTAAGACCATGAACTTTCCTTAAGTGTAAAGAAGGAACAAAGATCACTCAAAAATGATTTCCTTTGCAGATTGTAATAACAAACGTTAACAAGTGTTCCTAAGTTCTGAGTTTGGACCTCTAAGTTTTTGTACAGGTGCTTCATATTACCAAGGCTAATCTGCACTTCTGAACCAGGTAATGACAATTAAGTTTTATCACAAATTCACTGAAATAGTATTATGCTCATAAATTCTTAACTAAGTTACACTGTAAAAACAAAATGGCCAATGCATTGCAAGATTTTTTTTTCTTGATGTACCTATATCTTAGAGTTTTATACAGTTTTGTCCTGCTGTGTTACATTTACCTTTTGGAGCAGCTGGAGATTTCGATTCTTTCTCTTTTCCAGGATCTGTAAAAGAAGTATTCACACTGATAAAGTGACAGTCAGAAGCCATAACTGAGTGAAACTATGAGATTTAATAATAAGAGAGAATGAAGCACCTAGATCACATGAGAGACTATAACTGCATATTGGAAGAAATAATAAAAAACAGTGATTGGAAGAGTTGTATGAAATCCACCTGTTTCTATTCAGAGAGTTCAGTCCAGAAAGTGTTTTATTGATTTAACTATGAAACTTAAAAATTTTGCAAGCTTCAACTTAATATGGCATAAGGATAGCTTTTCAACTTTCGTAACCAGGAAGGACAAAAATGACTAATGTTGACTCATCAATGTTGTCTGTGGCCTACTTCCCTCATCTGGGTTTCCCCATTCTTGCTGGGCAATCCAGGTGTCTCCTTATTGACACTCTTTTCTATAAAACAGTGACAAATAGGAGGATGAAGAGTTCTTTTTATTTTGCCTACAGACAAGTAGTGAAGATGGCTAGGCCACACCATCCTTGATGGATACTGTACAAGGAAAGACAGTCCCCTGTAAAAGGCATAAGATAAAATTTGAACCAGACAGAAACCAAGATTTCTGTTTCAGACAAAATGTGAGATCATCATTCTGGGCTGATGAAACCAAGCTCTTCAAAGCTTTTCCCACCAAAATTAAAAAGACAGATGAGACTGTCCCAAAATAGGCTAGTCATAAAGGAAGGAAACTTGGATTTTTGAATTCTTGCATGTTAAGTGAATGTTTTAACTATCTGACTATTGGTTACATGTAATCTGGGAAAAAAAAATCCAAAACAATGTTCTCAATCAGATATGAAGCAAAGAATTTTTTCTGTTGAGGAACTTGGCAGAAATTCAGTGCCAGAAGGTCTTAAAGAACTCTGTTAGAAGACCTACTTGGTTTCTACACACAGGATAAAATGGTAAGACTCCTAATGAGGAGGAGGTTGTGTTTAGCAGATAGATATGAAACTTGTAGCTACAGTGGGTAGCTGCAGTGATAATTGTTTACTGCCTTAAGCACACAGAATTTACAAATTGTCACTTTGTTATAAAAACATGGAATGTGTCCAATAGTAGTTTATCATGGTATCAATAAAGCTTCTTGTTCACAATTTAGTATTCGGCTCTGTGTAAGACAAATTGAGTTCATGGGGAATCTGAATTGAAGGAATGAAGAAATAATAAAATTTTATTTATGGTAGAATTAACCATCAGGTAGAAAAACAATTTACGGTTGACATTGAAACTCTTGTTCTGTTGGGGCTGACATCAAGGGATAAATGTCTCATTATTTTTCTCCTTCTAGATTCGATTCCAGACGATATAATTTTTCAAGGGGAAGACTTGGGAAAGGAAGTTCTTGAACAAGGTCAAAAGTGTAATTTTATTGTAATAAAACTGTCTCTTTCCATCCTGACAACATCCCAGACATCTGCTTCAGAAACTACCCCTGATCTTCTGCTTCTACCTTCAGGTTTTGTACTCACCAGTGTATGATTCAGTCACTAATTTTGAAAGTGAAAAACAAAACAATTTACTGCAGTTGTCTGTGAATCATATACAGTGGAACTAAGTATCTCTAATAGTCCTAATAAAACGTCAACGCCAATTTTTAAATATTCAGTTAATGATAGAAAACTGTGCTAGCAGAAATAAAACTAGTTTAGAAGACTGAAAAACTTGTCCTCTAGACTTAAGAAAAATTCTCAAGAGAGATTCCATGTTCGCTGCAATGGTTTCTACAAAAAAAGAGAGGAGAATGGAAGACACAGACCTTTCCCTCCTTTTTTTTTTTTTTTTTTTTTTTTTTTTTTTTTTTTCACAATCCAAATAAAGATTCTGTGATTAATATAAGAATACAAGTAATGTACCCAAATATTACACTATTATGCCTTTACCAAAAGAAATCATTTAATGCACAATATAAAACCTTTATTTTCAGGAGCCTGCCTGTAAGAACTTAAAGTTGTTGTGCACTTCCATTATTAAGAACACAGTTATCCAAACTGTCACAGAAGATGTCACATCAATGATACATTTTGAAAAAAAACCACATTAAAAACTTCTGAACTGAAAGCCTAAGTCATTACTGACAAAGCTTGAATCTCATGTGATTCCTAAATAAGAAAAGCTTTGGGAAGGTTCTTAAGAGATAGTTGTCTCCCATACAAAAAAGTGGCTTTTAGGATGGTGTGGCACGTGACACACGTGCTGTTGAAGCACTTAAAAAATTACCCAAGACTGCCCTGGAAATAGGAAATTAAAATGTAAATAAACACCAACCACATTCTGTAGGACTGAATTTACTGAGGTCTGTTAGACAGTCTGCCATAACTTGGCAAAATGACAGCCTGTAATGCAAATCCCATGACAAGAGACTTGTGTTACTTGCTCTGTATTGATTAGCAGTGTTAAGCTCATATTGACATCCGAATATATAACTGAGACCTGTAGTGAGCCTAGCAGGTGTGGAGAGAAAAATTTTTGGTGTAAAATAATAAACTTTATAAAAAGGTGGGAGGTTTTATGCTGGCATTGCACAAGTCTCTTCCTTTTGTCGAGGAACCACTTACAGTATTGGGATGAAACTTCTTTGGCTTAAACAGACTAGAATTTCTCAACATATCCATTATCACTATTATCAGCTCTGTTGTATCAGTTCTAGTCCATCTAATCAACTATAATCTGCAATTCTGACTAGCAGAAGTTTTTATATATTATTTTTCATTTATAGATCTGACATTGCTTTATCAGTTATAGGGAGAAGCAATATGTAAAACTCTAGCTTACTTCCTTGTTTCGTCTTCGGTTTATCTGAGGAAAGAGAAGGGAAGCAAAAGTGAAAAGAGAAAAGAAAAAGGAAATATTAGAATAGATGTTCACATAGGAAATTATTTTAATACAGTCAGCTAATGAAAATGTATTTAAATATATGTTGTCCCTAAGTGATTTCCACTCCACTGTTGCTTGACAGTGTATGTGAAAAAAGTTCATGGTTCCAACCTAGTAACTTGCAGATGTGCAACAAGAGCATAAAAAAAACCCAGTCTCATATGACCTGCTTTAACTGATGGTAATTAACTCCTTTCTTAATACTACTGGATATCACAAGGAAACATCTTTGACTTTTGCTCATTTCTTTTAAGTATTAATTCTCAGTTGCTTTAATAACAGGCAGTAACTCTGTGGCAACCATCTGACACTTGCTCATGTAATTTTTCAAACACATAGGTCAAAGAGTTAAAGTACTGTCTTTTTGAGATGCTTCTGGTGGTTCTCTGCCTTCTTGCTCTCCTTTTAACAGTTAACAATATTACATGCAACTTGGTTTTATTATTAATAGAAGATCAGTGAACCAAAATGTTGCCACAACCTTTTAGCCGGTTTCTAGACTTTAGGGATTTGAGGTCAAAGCTACAACAGCATATTTGATCACTAAAACCTTCAGCTTTGAAACAATGAAGCTATGTCCTGATTGCTAAAAAAAAAATAGAGCCGAACACACCCCCCAGATTTTCCTGCAACTCTCCTTATATTTAGTGTTTTCCAAATTGCAAATGCTAATTTTGACCAGGTCTGAATCCTAGTTTTTGACATGTATCCTGGCACACAATAGCTACCAGAGCAAATTATTTCATTTCTCAGTCTAAAAGGCTCAAAAATCCCCCAGTTGAAAAAAACTATTTCCTGGTGTATTCATACTTTTCTGATTAAGAAAAACAGCCCTCACTTCTCATATCTTCCAGATACCTGGAATCAGTGAATTAGGTAGTTTTCACTCAAAACATAACTCAGAGCTGCTTCCATCACCTTACTCTTCCATAAGAAATAGAAGTACATGCTAATATTAAAAAAAATTCCTGAAAGTTTTTTTGGCTCATTTGTCTTTGAGTGAGCAATGTGTTGGCAGTATCTCCATATATATAGGGTGCAGAAATGAGAAGCAGAGGCGATTGCTATCTGTTTATGTTTGCTTCTGTGCAGCAGAGGAACTGAGCTACTGCCAGTGCATGGAAGTAGCTGCACAAGTAGTTGTGATAGACATGACATGTTGTTCTTACTCCTCTGATTTGCAGAAGCTAGATGGCTTCTGGCATGGGGAGAGAGTACTGCTGCTGCTGACTGCTGGCATGAGAAACTGTCCCCCTTTTGAGCCCCCTGGGTAGCACAATCAAGGGTTTAGAAATCCCTGCTCAACTGCTCAACACCAGCCATGTGAAACTATGGTTTGCACTGCTCAGTCTGTGCTCTTTATGGCACAATTAAAATATTTTGCAGATAAAGTCCCATCTGATGGTGGCTCATTGTAGAAGGGACGAAATTTAGAGCAAACACCACCTCATTGCTGCATGAGATAGCCAAACAGAGACGAAGCAGCGCAGGTGCCTGGGGAAGCACTTGTATGACAATGGGAAATAGTGTGGAGGTACCCATACTAACAACGACTGAAATCT